TTTTTTTTTTTGTATGTGTGTGTTCCTTGGTGCAGGAACACAAGGTAGTTCGTAAAACAGAATTTGCCTGATTTAAGGCAGTGATTCTTCTGCAGTGTGGTTGCTTAATGGCGTGTGTGTGTGTGTGTGTGTGTGTGTGTGTGTGTGTGATTTTTTAAAAATGATAAAATATCCAGCATATGTTTTCCCAAAATTTAATATTAGGTCACATATACATCTATTTTGTTTCAAATTATCTTAATCTATATCTGTTCCTCTCTTCACTCCAGTAGAATTGAATTAAGTGCTCTCTGTACAAATGCATTGCAGATTGAATTAGCTTGGCTAAGCTAATTGGCCAAATCTGGTCTGTCTCAGTTTTTTCCCTTTGTGCATCAATACTGTCTGATGATTTTTTTTCCATGATTTTCTCTCCATATTGGCACAGGTGTAAATGTGTACCTTCATCTTTTACATACATTCTCATCATTGTCATCAGCTGGCACCATGCACCAATGAAATAAGTCTTTAAACTTTTAGACTGTTTTTTCATGGTGTTACATGTTAGGCTAAATGGAAGTGACGTTTGGAATAAGGCCTTAATGGATTTTTTAAAAATAAAGCACCAAGAGGTTTTTACAGGATTGCTACTTTATATTTAAAACAATAGTGTTTGCAACCAATTTAGCCTTGATGCAGATTTTGGTCTGAACATTTGCAAACTTTTGTGAACCTGTGTTCTGGTTTTCATTCATGGCATTTTGTCATCATAAGGGAATATATTAAGATTCAGATAATCTTGAAAGAGATTTTTATACTTGTTGTAAGATGTGATTCTTCAATTGTATGGAAGACTTACATCTGCAGAACTTGATTTGGCTCTCCCACTGCAACAAAAGGGAATTATCATTATAGGTAAGGATTTTTTTGGGGGGTACATTTAGTTAACCCTGATTGATCAGTCACATGAGTAATGGAGAAATGGTGACAAAGTTAGTCACCTTTGTGCCATTAAAGACAACCATGTTTGACTGCAATGCACACATTTTAGTTGACAGCAACTTTGCTTTGAAATACTGTGCTACCATAATGTATGTGTGACCCAGCAATTGTACAGATCAAGCCTCAGTGCCTGTAGATGAGGCATTATTGAATAAGATAAGATAATTGGTGACTTTCTTCAATTATGAAAAGGATTTTCTTGTGCAACAAATGAATAATGGATCAAGTTAGTCCCAAGATGTTGTTACTGGAACTGGGGTTTCTTTAGTGTGTTTGAGTTTAGTTATTCCAGAAAATGGATTAGAAAATGCCTTCTTCTGATATGTAATTTTAAATCTATTAGCTTTGCAATTGTGATCCAAGAATGAAAAAAAAATTGCAATTTGCCATATAATTTGATCTTTGACCTGTGTAAAAAATGATGCATTGTAAGGTTTATTTTTCAAATGAAAAAATATATCAGCAAGTTGACTGGCATTTTATTTTATTTCATTTTATGTAAATTTTGTAAAAACAATAACTGATATTAAGAAAAATATAAAAGAAGTGGCTATGATAAGTATCGTGACTTTCTCTTCATCTGATAAAACAAAGGTGTGTGATGAATTTGTAGAACAATTTTATGACCTATTAGTGTGAAGAAATTGTTTTTCATAGTAGCTGGAAAATTATCATCGAAAATAAGATCAAATTATTTTATATTTAATTCCTCTTAGCCTGATAAATCACAGCTGCACTTAAAGAGCAATGTGCATCAATTCCCTTAATTCTTCTTCTCAACAAAGGTGGTGTGTGATGTGACTAAGAGAAAAAAAGGTAAATTCTGGAAAGGTCCATTATTTTTTTCTATTGTTTAGAGCACCTACAAAAAACAGGCATATATAGCCAGCAATTTGAAAGAGGGGGGGGTCATTTATTTTGAGCAGGTGGACCTTTTTACCCTCTTAGTTCCCCCAACTTGCAAAATGGCATAGAACCTAGATCACGGTTCGTTTCTTAATGGATCTCCTTGGTTTATAATATCCTCAGGGGCGGATTTAGGCCGTCTTCTGGGTCTTCCGGAGGACGGTCAGATTTTCAAGTTTACATTGACAGGTATCTATTTTTTTCTGTCGGAAGACGGTCAAAAATGGAGGTTGGATCAACAAAGATAATTTGGAAGACTGTCAGAAAATATCTCTGGATTCGCCCCTGATCCTATATTACATACTGTACACATCTCTCTTCAGGTAAGACATCAAAACTGCATCCTCTGGTTATATTCTAAATATTCAACTGTTTTGATTCTAAGCTTCTCTACCACATATGAAATATGCCCCGGAGAAATATTTTCTGATTCTGACACATACCAGCAGATCAAACGCCCATTAGGCTTTTTATTTAGGCAATAAAATGATATTTAAGTCTTATTTATATAACCCCGTCTGACTGATTGCCGTGGTGGTTGTTTTCTACTTTGTTACTTCTTTTTCTGCTGTACATGGTTGGTGGTCCAAGGTGTTGGCACTGGGGGCTGTCAGAGAACATAATACATGTTCAAATTGAATTAATAGTGTATATACAGCTATCAGTGATTGTGGGTTAGCATTGATCAAGTCCATCTTGCCTGTTGCCAGAAAGGTTACTTTGTGAACATAAGAGCTCCTGTTCCATTTCAATTAACAGGTTTAAAAAGTTCTTAAATGACGTATGTGGCATAGGCAAGATTGAAATCCTAGCAGATTTTTAATCCACCGGATTTGTTTTAGCACTTTGTGTGTATTTTTGACAGATGTTTTATATAGTTAGTGGGTTGTTAAGTATAAACCACATGAACTGAAAAAATCACATTTGCATGCAGACACTCGCACGCGCACGTACAAACACACACATGTGAGTATACATACTGGTATGTATACATATCAAGCATGACTATGACAATACAATTTACAATTACCTAGTCTATAGTGAGAAGAATTAACCTTAATCACAAAAAATCACAGGAATAAAAATGAAACAATGCAAGATATTCTCTCCTAGTCAGGTTAGTTTATCACGAATGTTGTTGGTGTTGTTATTTTGAATTTGTGGTAATTATAACAAGAGAAATAAAAAACAATAAGATCACTGACATTGGGACATGACATTTTATTCTAATCGTGAATAATATGAATTTTTTCTCTTTCCAGCTCAGTAGAGATGCCCAGTATAATGCAAACGACATGGGAAGACTTAATACGAGAGGTGGAGGTAGATTCATATGTGAGTACCATCAGCATGCAGCCATATTGTTCATCCATTTTGACAGATTTTGAAAAAACTCAATATTCTTTTTATTTAGTTTGGCAAAAAAGGTATTTGCTTGTCACTGACACAGCTTATATGGAATTTAGAGAACAGTTTTTTTGGTAATTTAGAGCAAACAGCATAAGAAAGTACTGCTTTATCTTTTTATTTAAAGATAACCTGTTGGTTGCATATTTGTGTTTTGCTTCCCATTGATTGTCACTTTATCTGAACAGTCACTTTATCTGATTATAAGACGAATTATATCAAGTTGGATTGTAGGTTCATATTTCAGAAATGTTTTCTAGTACTGCAGTGGCATTTGTCCATATCTGTGACAGAAATTATAGATTGCATTTGGATGTGCCTGGTTGTGAGCTTGCACAACTAACATATTCAGTTCTTTTCAGATGCACACTGATCTCGCCAGTAGGTTGACCAAGAATGTTTACCAACCATTAATGGATCTTGCAGCTTACAAAAGAGGTCATGTAAAAAGGATGACAAGTTTTGGAGAGCACTACCTATCTTTACTACAGAAGGCTGAAGCAGATTTAGACAAGGTATAACTGTCTTTGATGACAATGTGCCCTATATACCCAGGGGTCTATTTAATTCCTCCCACAGTTACCATGCTGCACTACTACTACTACTACTACTACTACTGCTGCTACATTACTACATACGCCTGTATCCTTTCATAATAAAATTTGTGAATTCTTTTAGAATTAATTTTACTTCAGTATTCTTTTACTCCTACCTGGTTTTTCTTTTCTCTAAAATCTCTCTCTCTCTCTCTCTCTCTCTCTCTCTCTCTCTCTCTCTCTCTCTCTCTCTCTCTCTCTCTCTCTCTCTCTCTCTCTCTCTCTTTTCATACCAATTTACCTTCCCTCCCCCCTCCTTGTCTGTGAAGGGAAAGCTAATTACTTTATCATCAGCGCAACATGACACCATAGGGTATTTACAACAAGGCCAAATGGGGAAGCTATTTTTTTTTTTAGAAATGTCTTTGTTGAGGTATGTTGTTGGCCAGTCAATGGCATGTTTAATGAAAATAGTTCCTACATGTTACAATAATATGGCTACATATTCGATGCAATGAAGCCATTATATCATATTTATTTCAAATTCTACCAGCATTTTTTTTGACAGGTTTAAGTGACATTAAATATCTGCTTAATCATAAGGGATAAACTACCGGTAGGTTGTTTACCTCAGGTAAGAATTTCCAGTAAACTTAGATGCAGATACTGCAAAAACAATTTTATAGCTTAATTGGCCATTGACATAATGGTGGTATTCTTTCCTAAAATCAAAGTACTTTAAAGCATGACACCAGTTTTAAGCCTGACAAAGACTCAAGATCCAGTGTTCTTTTCACAAAAAATATAGCCTGAATTTTTTTAAAAGAAAATTATACATTTCCATACCAAGTGTAAACTAGAAAGGGAACTTATCAAATAAGTTGAGATAACAAAAAAAATATATATTAAGCTGTCTACAAATAAATAACCTTGAACCTTATTTTTCTTTGTTGCTCAACACATCCCCAACACAGGTATGATTTTCCACAGAATGAAAAAGTAGCAGAAGGATACCCTATGCATATTCATCAGTTGTCAGAAGATAAGCCAATTCCTACAGGATATTCTTATGGGCATTTAAAAATCATGACCACCTTGTTTTAAGTTCCTTTGAGTATATACCTGGAAATCAAGGTTGAGTTGACTCACTTGTTAATCCTGAGTTTCACTTTCTGTGTGGGCGGAGGACCACATATTGAGTTTCTGAGAGGTCTTTTGATAGAGGCAAGAATGTTGATGCTTGCAGATTCGTATATGACAATCTAATCATTCTTACTGGCAGACTATAAACACCTAATGGGGTATCATGGGGGACTTCCAGTGCAAACTGCCACTGGTGATATTAATAATTGGGGTCGGGTGTTATTAAGTGTGATTCTAGCATTACATTACAGCTGAATGTTTGTTTGTTGTACAGGTTGTGTGAAAATCATTAAAAACCATCTGGTAGGAAAGGAAGCTGTGCAGGTTTTTATGTAATATGAAATATTATGTGGACTGATGTCTGCTGCAGCCTCCAGCTTAACCAATATAAAAAAGTTCTGTTTAGGCTATATGTGAAAAGCAGAACTGGATCCAAATCAAAGAGAATATGTTTTGAAATGTGGCATTTTCCCAAAAATATTCCCAATTGTCAACAACAGAAAATCAGTTGCACCTGTTGTTTTTTGTGTCTGTCCAATAATGAAAAAAATTCCACCCATGCCAGGAAGAGTGGGATGCAATGCTGGCATCAAATATTTTATCTAACTACATTATATACACCCAAAAGTGATTAAAAGCAAGATTGCAGTCACATTGATTGGCAATAAGGAAGCTAAATCTTATCAGAGGAGAAGCCATTATCCAACAATCCAGCCCATAGATCTCCCTCATAAGAATTAGGCAGATATCCATACCCCCCCTCCATTTCATGCCAGTTTTCCCACCCTGTGTTTCAGAGGAGATTGGAAACTCACCTGTCTATACTGTCTGTATGCCTCTGACATTACCAGCATCTGAAACTAAGGGTGGGTTTTCCTTTCACATCTCTGATATCATCAGTTCACAGAAAGGATGGATGTTATTTCATTAGGACATGGCCCTGTTTAACCTGAGCTGTTATAAGACACTTTCATTCCAGCAATCTCATTACCATTAATAAAAGAGATTAAGTGTTGTGACTTGTTTTAATTACTCTTTGTTCATCTGTTTTAACTGCTTGATTTATTTATGACATCTCCTGGGACAGATTGCCTGATAGACAAGTACATACTGTAAGTCATTACTGTAATGTTGATGAAGTATTAATACCCTGTTCACACTACGCTCAGTTATCCGGATAAATTGCGAATTAGGTCACAATTCGAATAAAAGCAGTAGTGTGAACGCAAGAGGATTTTTGTAATGCGCATTTTCAAAATCCTGCAAGCGAGGTGGATTTCTAAGCGCGATCCGGATAACTTACCGGAATCGACACCTGTACAGATCTAACTGCGCATGTGTGCAGATAAGTGCGGGTATCTATGAACGCTTGTTTATTACTTTAGCGATTGCACCAAACGTATTTGGAGGTCACCACTCACTACAACATGAGGAAACAAACTTATTTTGCCATCTTATACTTCTCAAGAATGCTGGAATGTCTTTAGAGTTGCATTTGTCGTCACAAATTTTTGTTGGTATTTTAAGATTTCCTGTGCGGCGCATGCGCGAGTGTTCAAAACAGGAAGTTAAACCTGAAATTTTCAACGTGTAATTCGGTTTCGCTTAGCGTGTGTGAACGCAATACCGAGTCGAATTCCTCACGAAAAATTCGGATTATAGAAATGCGCATTTTTGCAACTGTAGTGTTAATGGGGTATATATGTGTCTAAAAGATGTTTTTCAAGTAAAAATCCTTGAAAGAATACATTTTTTAAAAATTTACGGTGGCATTTAGTAATGGCAGTTGGTCATTTATTGTACTCAATGGCAGTCAAAATCCTGGACCAATGTAACTTGAAGTATTCTGTTATCCCGGGTGGTTCACTATCTCTGTCACCTATAATGAAAACAGCCAAATATAATTTTGTTCTTTTTTTCAGGCAAATAAAAATTATGTAGACTGCTTTATAAGATATCAAGAAAATAAAGACACATACAAGCTGCAGTCAGCCTACCACGTTGCTCACAATGAATACCTCCTCCAGCTCAAGTCCTTCAATCAGCTTAGCACTGAGTACTATGACATGGCCCTGCCTGGACTGCTACAGGTAAGTATTGTTCTCCAGGTGAGCACATTTGAGCATATTCTATTCAGATAACTTTACAGCGTAATATGCATATGCATTGCAAAGTAAAAGATAAAAGTGTGCCTTTTTGCAGTTTAAGCCCCCATTCCCATAGATATACCATTGGTGTTACAAAGATTTATTTAACTCTGTGTGGAAACTTGCTGAGTGCAGTCAGCTTAACTGAATGACAGGCCTCCTGGCGTTGAGAAAAAACAAAAAAGCTGGGCCCAGTTTTATTAAGGACGTTTAGCACTAACCAGTGTTTAACTCTAACCAGACCTAACTGACCTTAAAATAATTATTTAATCCAGTTAAACACTGGCCAGTTAACTAATTGGTTGTTTTCCATCAGAAGACTGTATATGAAACACAATTTAACCATCTTTTAGTTAATGGGTGTTAGGAGAATTTATCCACTGGTTAGGCTTATCCACTGGTTAGTGCTAAACGTCCTTTATAAAACTGGGCCCTGATGATTATGCAAGTACATTTGAAACCAGAGGAGGTGTGTCAACTTAAGCTGATTGCTATCAGCAAGAGTCCCCACAGAGTTGATGTTCTATCTTTGTAAGCCAATGGTGTCTATGGGAATGGGATCTTAAGCAATGCTTTCTACTTGTAGCATTTTGACACCATTCTTCGGTTATTATTGGAGCCATGCAACCAAAACTTGTTTAATGTTTTTGTCACAAATTTATATTTTTATGATACTCTCAGATATGTTTCTATGTCAATTCTTCAATCTGCGTTAGTCTCCTTCATTTGAGAAATAGCAGCAGAAACCTGGAAATGGAAATTTAAAATATTGTAAAAAAAATGCTGCATATCAAAATTAGATATATAAACAACTGGCAACCCCTACAGTTCACTGTTGTTTGTTTCTATTAGGTTCCAATTTTCCAGGAAGTTTTTGAAAGTCAAGACTGTTCAAAATAAACTAATATTACTTGGATCTATTAGACACATAAATAAGATTTTCAAAACTTCCAAAATGATGATAACCTTAAAACACAAAGTCCAATTTATTCTTGTATTTGCAAATTAAAAGCAAAAAAAATCATTAATGGGATTAGGACGGTATTATAAATTATCAGTTTATTTGCAGGAGTTGGAAGATATTGAATTAGACACAGGCCTAGCACTGAATGGGGCATTGGAGAGTCATGTGATGCTTATTCTTTCCAAGGTACAGAAAAATTATTAATTATTGCGTTTTGTCAATTTCACAAAGAATGTAACTAGTGGATAAGAAAAAATCCTATTTCTCAAACAATCTGCACTAATTCAAGGAGTTTTGCTAATAACTAATACTCTATGATTTTGCCTCTGGCTAATGAAAGTTTTGAGGCAACACAGGTATACTGTTGGCTATTGTGCTGCAAGCTGTTGTGTTGAGTGTAAAAAATACAGTCCCTAAACAGGCCATTATCTAAAAAATGGTCAACTCTACCATTGATTTTTAGACTGTGATTATTGTGTTGAAAGCCGTGGAGGTAAAATATACCAGTCATTCAGTTTTAATATTCAATTGATTTGTTCAGGCAATGCTGTGGTGCAGCCTGCAATTAGTGTTAATTTGATGGAGTTTAGAGGCTTGTTTTTGAGAAAAGTTTTAATACTAATTATCTGCATTTTTGGACATTTTTACTTTAAATTCTAAAACTTGTGTATAATGTTGACAAACTTGCATTTAAAAAAAGCACCAGCACTGAAACTTTTCTGCACTTTCAGAAAAGATTATAAATGATGAAAAGAGCAAAGTTCGAAAATGCACTTTTAAATCAATCTGAAGAGTACAAGCTTATGGAGGCAATGTCCTTTTAAAAGTTCTTAGGCTAACCCCAGGAGGCTACCCTTGTCAAGCAGCCATATTTGCAATAACCTGGAAACGTTCCATTGGTTCCATCTCAGGACCAATTGCCAAGATTTAAATTCTGAAAATGTGTATATCTATTCTAAATGGAGTTATGCAGCAAAAGATTAACACTTGAAAAAAGCCAACTGCTAGTCTGAAAAGGACAGAGTATGCCTTTATGTGTTAAGTTGGCAGTCCTATGTTCTGTTGAGCTTTCCATGAGTGCTTTGCACTTTCTGACATTGCTAGAGTCAAAGATTCAAAAGTAAATGGTGGTAGATGTGAAAGAGCGCATTCTCAACGAATTAAGCCAGGCTTTACAAAGCCGGTGACCTAAAAATGGCGGACGTACATGAAAGAAAAACCGCCTAATCTTTTAATAGTCTCTCCGCCTCTCACAAGCCTCCCCACACGTCGTCCCTGCGGGGTACAGGAATTAAATCTCGGCTCCGAACATTAATATTTCCGTGAATATCTCTGGTGATATTATCTCCGTAGATAGTCGATTCATTGCTGCTCTACGGGCCAAATTATTCCTTTTTCGTCTCTGTTTTCAAAGATAATAGAACAGAAGAGCTTTTTTTAGGTCACCGGCTTTGTAAAGCCTGGCTTAATTAGTTGAGAATGCGCTCAAAGACTATTAAAACTGGATATATTGATAACACACACACACACACACACACACACACACACACACACTTTTTCCAATGTAGTTTCAGAAAAGTAAAAAAAGGATTTGAGGGAACAACAGATTAATGATATAAGAAAATGCAGCAATTTAAGCAGGTTGAGCAGCTCAGAAATGAAGTTGAAGTGGACTTTTGATTAAATTATTTTCAGTCAGTCCTACAGGTGGCAAAAATAGATTATTTAAAATATGCTACAACTTCTGATTCAATTTTGCATGCGTCTTACATGCAAGGAATGCTCTGGGTTTTTCTCCACATGTTACAGATATCGTCACAAGCACATTTTACACAAAGAATTGGGCACTTGGGAATTCAGGTGCAGTGAGATGAAGGTGTATATGATTTTAAATTAAATATGTATTAGAAAATACATTGGTACCTGGCAAGTAAATGATGATGATGTTATTATTTTTTAATCAAATATGACCCGGATCATGTATTTTGTAGTTGTTACTAGTATGCTCACCTAAGCATGTCCTGATGGAAGCGGAAATCAATATTTTTGATATTTTAAAGGGAGCCTGCTAGATTAAAAGACTGAATACAAATAGGACAGCTCGAAGGTAGAAAACAAAATATTTATGTAAGTCAAAAAGATCATATTTGATTTCATTATCTTTACTCCTTAGACCTACTTCTGCTTGCATGTACATGTATTTATGTGTTTAAAAATCCATACAGAATACTTTTGAAAGTAATGCTTGGAGAATAGTTTTTCAGTTTTAATTGGTCCATTTGGAATCCTTACTATATATTATTACTATTATCCCCCCTACCCCCCCCCCCCCAGGGGTTTCAAATTAAGTCATTCATTCCTTCATTCATTCATTCTCAATTTGATCATCTTTTCCCGATCAAATATTAATTTAAGTTATAGTAATTGACTTATTTAGATGTTTAAAATCTATCCTCCCCCCCCCCCAAAAAAAAAAAATAATAATAATAAAATAATTTTTAATTTGCCATGTGTAGATATACAGTAGTTGATGAGGGCATTTATGTTGTTCACAGATATATAAGAAGTAAAAAAAATAACTTACAAATTTAATCATAAGGTTAATAAATGAAGTGTGTATTACATGCAATGGTCCTTGTAGATTTGATTAAAAAGTTAAATTACACACAGAACAATTGATGAAACCTTTATAAGACAATTTTGAGAAGCAATACGTAAATTCAGTGAAATAATCATCATATAATGATCTTTCACATGTAATAATTAGAGGTACATTTATTTTACACAGATTTAGTTTTCCAATGCATTAAGTCTGTAAGCAGTAAAAAATGCAGAGTAAAAAAATGGAAGAATGTTTATTGAGATATCTGTCTGTCAAAAAGTGTAAACAATGTAAGGAAGGTGCCTTTTATTGGAATTCTCAGCAAATTTCAAACTCACTTTTTACTGTGTTGCAGGCACATGTAAGTCCTTCAACTGACCTCATTTTGAAGAACCAATTGAGCTGTGAACAAGGTCCTATTTTTGTCATGTCACAAAAGAGCATAAGCAATTAAGGTCAGAACAATTAAGATCGCATTCACAACGAGTTGAGCCAGGCTTTACAAATCCTGGGGACTAAATATGGCGGACGTACATGAAAGAAAAACCCCCTAATCTTTTAATAGTCTCTCTGCCTCTCACACGCCTCCCCATGTGTCGTCCCAATGGAGCTGAGATTTAATGACTGTCCCCCCGCAGGGACGACATGTGGGGAGGCGTGTGAGAGGCGGAGAGACTATTAAAAGATTAGGCGTTTTTTCTTTCATGTACGGCCGCCATATTTAGTCCCCAGGATTTGTAAAGCCGGGCTCAACTCGTTGTGAATGCGATCTAACTGTCCTGATAGCTGTCAGCTAGAGGCCTAGGGCCAGTGTCTGGGGTGGTTATGTAAGACTGGGTTCCCATACCTAGATCGATCTAACAGGATCAATCCATCTCCTAGAGGTTTCTCGTTTTAGCTCAAGGGGCTTAGATGTCTAGCACACCTACTGAAGCTGCTTAACAATAATTAATTACTGCCTAGCAGCTTCAGTAGGCATGACAGACATCTAAGCTGCTTAAGTTGATTGCAATTTAGCAATAATCCCCTAGGAGATAGATCGATCCACAGTCAGTACGATAGGGTCTGGGAATGGTCCCTAATACTAGGACCTACCTGGGTTCTAGTGAAAAATAATAACCAACATTTATTGCTAAGAGTCACAGCATAGACAGAGTGTCATGGAAATGGGTACAGAATTAGACAGAAAATATGTAGGAATATCTAGTGTAAAAATCACCCTGTGGCACTGGTAGAGGATACTTGGTTGGCACACTGAAAGAGAATAGGTAATTGAGAGAGACAAACTTTATACTCAGGTGATTCTATCAAGTGGGAGATGGTGAGCAATCATGATCAGGAAGTGAGTTTTTCATCGAACAGCTAGCATGTGGTATAATAAGCAAATTAATCAAATTGGAAATTAATTTTTTTGTCTGTGACATTATTATCAAATAGTGCAGGTACTCCTATATTAATTTTGGACTGAGACTTATTATGGTTACCACCAATCAAAATAAACCTACTGAATAACATGCATTTCAGAGAGAATATTAAAATGAAATTGCATCGCCAAGCACCTTAAGATGTTGGTAATGAACTCTTTACAGTAGTAAACCCATACGTTACCTGCCTGCCAAATGGTTTTTGAGCCAGGTCTAATGGCTATACTTTGGGGCATGGTGATTGATTTTACTTTTAACTGTAGTTATGTAAACCTTCAGAACTGTCCATGATGTCATTTAAGGGAACGTAGCTATCAGTTTCAGCACATTATACACACATCACCCTGACATAACAGAATGAACATCTATCAGGGAAGATATGTATGCAGTGTTGCACAGCAGGGGTTTTGAAACTGATGTGCACTTGTAAATGGGTAATTGTCCAAGCAGAGCATCAGGCATTTATTGATCATATAGCTGCTTGCCCACTATACCTTTAGTAGAGATGAGGGAATGGTAGAGAGAGGAGCAAGTGAGACACGGGGAGGGCTGGCATTTGCTTTCCACTTGTTGGTAGAATATAGGTAGAGATGGTACTTGTAATGCTCATTTTCACAGTGACGATTTCCATGTTAAACTTATTGGGGACCTTTGTGTGTGGTTTGCTCAACAGGCAATGGAGATAATGAAAATAAGATTTTAATTGTCACCTTTGAATTGTTTTAAACTTGGTTGGCTAAAGCTTGGAAGTAAGAAATCACTGTACAAATGTAATTAACACAGAGACATATCAAATAGAAGAAAAGTGAAGAAAGAAGAAAAAGGCAGAAAATTTCTGTGTGAACATTTGCCAGAAGTTTTTTTTATGTAATTGAATTATTAGTACGGAAATTTGTTCTGAAAGTACAAAAGTGAAAAGGGGCTATTGTGATTAAAATAATTTTTTTTATTTCAGTCCAATGAGCAGTACAAGCGCTATGAGGGCATTCTCCACCTGTGTAAGCAGCTTGATCCCAAAGTGGACATTGTCCACTTTGTGAAACACTTAAAACCACAGCCATTTGTGATAGACAGTGTACTACAGGAATTCCGCCCACCAGATCCCAACTCTGGGAACATCGAGGTAAAGAAAGTAATTACAAGTTGAATTGCCATCAGGTTGCCTTCAGGTCCTCGGGGGATTTCATTCAGTCTTGGCGGTTCAATTGCACATTCTGTAATATCTAAATGTGAGGCCTGAAGATTATAGAGGCATTGTGTGTTTATAAATGGCAGAACTGCAGAGAATGGTATGGGTTTTAGTTGAAGGATGCTGGAAGACACTGGGCATTAGAGTTCAAAAATGATCGAAATCAAATGTCACTGACTGGTGTTTGTTTATTTAAAGGTAAAGCAACACAAGACCAGGGATAAAGATTTGAAATCTAATTTTGAATACTAATTAAAAATTGTCTACATCAAAAGAACATTCTCATCATTTTTTTTTTCAATTATGAGATAGAGAGTTTCTGATAAATTGAAAATTATTAAATTTGAAACAATTTAGAAACTCTTGCATTGTTGCTCTGGATATATATCTGCTTAATAAAACCAGAAATTCCATCCCAAAGCACAGACCTGAATGCTTATTAAGGTTTTGATCAAAGAAAAGAAGTAAATGCTGCCCTTTTTTATCAAGTTTCTTTGATCCTTTAATGATATCACATCACTGTCATGTACTCTCAAGATGCTTTGATGATCCTGAAGTAGCATGCAAGGGGGTCATTTTTGGACATCAGTTCCTATGGCAACCTAAGTTAATTATAGCCATTAGATGCAACTTTTGAGCACAGTCATAAATGTTAGCAGGAAATTGTTCACTTTCCTGCTTACAAATTCATAGAAATATCCATTTTTTTTGCTCTCCCAGCCATGGTCTTGTTTAAAAATAGATGCCACAATGTCATGATATTTCTCTTTTAAGGCTACAACTTGTGATTGAGAGATGCATTTGGGAATCCATGCCTAGAGTCACAATAAGTAATTTTCATGAATAAGTTGAGCATTTGACTTGAAATCAAAAGAAAGTTAGATAAAGCTGTATTGGAACATGAAAAGAAATATGAATAAATCAGATGTAAAATTTTGTCAAAAATGTATTCAAAGAAGAATTTTTAGTAACATTTCCTGGCTAATGACACATCTACCTAATAAATCAAATAAATGCATTTTTCACACGATAATTCTATTACTTTCAATAGAACTGTATAATGTACCCTTCATAACTGTACATATGAAATTTTCTGCCTAAATCCACAATTTTAATTCATGGTATTTAGTAAATTCATGGATTCAGCTCCTGTACCCTGATGTTCTCAGGTCATGACATGACTTCTAGTTGACTGGCAGATGGTAATGGATCTGTCCGTCAGCATTCACTTTTGGCTCATCAGTCATTTTGATAAAAAACCAATACATGTGTTAACAACAAATTATACATATGAGGCAAGGTTAAGTTGGGACAGATTCTTAATGAAAAAGTTGCTGTGTGTGTGTTTGTGTGTGTGTGTGTGTGTGTGTGTGTGTGTTATCATTCTGTATGTTATAATTTTAACCACACACACACACTTTCAAGTTGAAGAATACACATTGGTGACACAAGAAGTAATTGGTATAGATGTGATGGACTGTTATTTTTCTGTATTAAGAAAACTGAGGAATTGTGACTACGGTAATGACTCGATCTTTTCAATGGGGGAAAACTGTGAATTTTACAGATACTGTATTTTTTAAGTCATCATTTCTTAAAATAAGGGCATTCCTTTTGAGTGGTTACAACAAAATTGAACAGCAGACTACCTTATTGTTCTTTTCTATGCATTAAAAGCACCACAAATGCTATATAAAAATATAATTTTTATGATTTTAAATTTATATCTGAAAGTTTGATATTTTTTGCTCATTGAAAATATCGAGTCAATATGTATATATATACTGCTATTCAAAAACATAGTAACTGCTATTGGTACTACTAATTCTACTACAAGATGTAATATTTATGGAGTAATGGTTGTAAAATCTTGTGCAATAATTACTGAAGGAATTAATTTTATTGATTTCACAGAATCTACTTGATGATCAGTTAATTCTCAACAGAGGAACCCAAACAGTTCTCGATTCCAAACAGAGTATTCTGGAGAAGCAAGCAGCCAACCTGTTGTCTGAGATCCAGTTCCAACAGGAATCCATCGCAACTCTCACAGAAGAATGCAAGAAGTAAGTACGTAAGATGAGGATGAGGAAAAAGAGAATGGTGATGATGATGAGGAACAGATGACCAGGATAAAGATAACATAAAGCCTCCAGGACACATTTTTTTAAAGACACATTACATATTTTTCATATTGCTTGGCATGCATCCTTTATTGGAGACAGTCAGCTAATACATTAAAAAAGTTTTTCCATAATGAGCATATTTGTTTTGTTTTTGAATTTGAAACTCAGTAGAAAATAATAATTAGGTTGAAAGTTGTTGATGACATAAGGGGAATTAATTGTTATTCATTATTTTGTACAAGAATGCTCGATTTGGTCTCTTTAACATCAAAATGTGACAAAATTCAGTATGACACTTATAACATTCCAAATTGTATGTTTCATCATTTAGAACTGAAAATTTATAAAATTAAACAGACTACATTTCTGTCCCCAGTGTAGGATATGTCCTCCTGCCTGGTCAGAACTTCAGTATTCACTTGATTGTACTTTAATGAAAGTAGGGTCTCCATACCTTTAAGCAGGTTTATTATAAGCAGGGCTAGTTGTTTGCAGCCTATAGATGAGCAAACCTACATATAGTATCCAATACTACTAAAATAGTTATAATCCCTGCAGGTATCCTATTTTAGAAATGTGGAGAAAATTGTCTCTCTTTCTCTCTCCCTTACTCTCTCATTGATCCTATGTTTTCGACTTCTGAAAATTAATTAGGCATGCACTGCATCTTTTAGAAATTGAATCCACAGGTAAAGATGTAGTTTGTTATGGAAATTCAGTTCATGATTCAATTCAAAAGAGAAAAAAAAATAACATTCAAACAGCTATGGGTCAGGTTCATGTAAGGAAACATCATCAGAAATGCTGTTCTTAAGTTATTGATGTCAGAATAGAAAGAGCATTAAAAATTGGATGTCAGTGAATGAGATTAATACTACTCCAAAAATAACAGACCAAAAGAAAATTCTGGAACAAATCAGATTTGTTGCTCTATATATGACAGTTTAATTTCAAAGATTTCCCCATTTACCACATAAATGAAAGGCAATTCCACCATCACTGGATAACCTGGGGTAAGTTCTGGCATTTAAGAGAACACCACTAATGGTGATCGGTGAGTGAATGGCATACTAAGAGATAGACACTTCATTGCCAACACTAGATAAGTTCCATTGGGAAAAAGTTACTTCATTGGTCATATGCAAGTTCAAACTTATTTTTGATATACTGGTCCTAACACAACACAGTTCTTGGAACTACATGGTAAACAAATTTTTTAAAAATGAATGAGAAAGAGAAAAAAATATTATCCAGAATGTTTATTTGGCCAATGAATTTTGTTTTTCATCTTCATGATATTTATGATTCATAATTTCATAAAGAGTTGCAATAAAATATTCATAGCTATTATATCTTTTTGTATGAAAAAATATCTGCTCTGTATATGAAACAAAACTAAATACTAAGTAAGGTCTTGAATCCTTCATAGCAGTCACAGTAATTATAGAACATGATTAATCATATCTAACCTTTAAGCTGAAACATCTCCCGATTCTTTACAAGTTGCTCTTTTCTGTTTCTGAATTAATAGTAATTACAGACCCAGAAAAGTAAGGTTTACCATGCTTTCTTGAGCAATGGTCAGGGAGGGCAATTTTTAAGCCCTTTTATTTGTATACGGTCCATTGAAATTTGCTGAAGGCCCTAGGCTTTTTTTATAGACTGGAACATTTGGTTCCCCCCCCTCTGAAGCTTAATGCTGCAGTATATTAAGGATCGTCTCACCTGTGTATCTAAGATTTGACCTAGAGCAATTCTCTTTACTTTCAACACAGTGCACTGCAAGAGCTGTAAAGCTTCTGGAAATGGGTTTGGGTTATCTGCCATTGAACAAAATTGAATAATTAATGACATTTCTTGGAATGTGTCAGATTGCTTTTACAAATTAATCATTTGATTATGTTTACAAGATTTCATTTTTTGGCGAGATTTTTTCACCTAGTTTTTCTGTTAAGTTACTTCCTATCAAAGGATTAATAAAATCTCTTGCTTCAAGACTTAATTTAATTCAACAGGAACATGAAAAAGTGTTTCTGTACTTTCCTTGCTTTCAAAAATAATCACAAGCTTTCTTGGAAAGTTCATGTAGTTCAGGTACAGCTTTTGCTTCTTGTTCATCTCAGCCATAAATAATGGGGAGAGGCTAGAATTATGGCTGCAGTTGGAAGATAATGTCTGCTATTTGCCAATTTTTGTCTGGAAAATACTGTTGACATGAAAAAAAAACATTGTTTTAGCAACATCAACATGTTGTTGATTTTTATCATTCCCTGTAAAGACCATCTTTTGTTAGAAAACAATTATTGATTTCTGCCCATTAAAGATCTGTCATTGTTCTGAAGTCAATACACCAATAACAGTAAGAAGCAAAATGGCCAAATTGAGAGAGAATATCTCTGGCTGCTAATGGCTTATGGTTAGACAGTCCATGAATCAAAGGTAGATATAAATGGACGTAGCCAAGAGTGGGAGTAAATAAAATATACACTGCCCCTATACTTCTGACATCAATAGCTCGAGAAGCAGACGGCAAAGGTAGCATAGGGGCCAGGAGAGCTTACATCCTGGTCACTGCTCAAGGAAGTGTGGGCAGTGTGTGTGTATGAAGTGTTAAGAACTGGCAGTGCATAGCTAAAACCCAATTATTCAATCTAGAAACTGCAAGAAAAAACAGGAAACTTATTTATCTAATTCGTGGAGAAAAAAAAACAACCAGGTGAACTGTGCTGTGTTTTAGCAGACGGCCCACCTTGGAGATTTAACCTCGCCTACTGACTGGGAGAATTAGGCACCATAGGAGAGTAATCGCACTGATCAACAAATGTAAGTAAGTTTTGGTGTTTCTTTTTTTTTTAGGAATATTGCCAATCATCAATATGGTAAGCTGTATGAAATCCAAGAAGAACTATGCTCTAAGAGGAATGAAGTGAGAATTGCCAAGATGCAACTTGCAGCAATCAAACCCCAAGTAAATAAATTATTGTTTTAATGCAATTCTTTATTAGTGTATTTTTATTAATGTTGTAGTTGTTGTGGAGGATACTTCATTTAACACCAAAAATATTTTAGTGGTGTTCAAATAATGAGTTTTTTTTTTTTTTTGTCAAAAGTATTTAATTTTTCACTGTTTGTTTTGCTCTTCATCTCCTGTTTCTCATTAAATGGATATGTATTTTTCCCAGTATTGTATAATAATATACATATATCATCTGACAGTGTACGTTTTCTTTGCATGCACAATTAAATTGCAGTGACTAGAGTAGTCCATTGTCCATTTTAAGGGTGTCATCATTGGATCTATTTATCTTGTCACTTAATTTAATTAAAATCCTTGAGCCCAACTTGTGGCAATGTCAACTATGACTGTAAAAAATGCATATTACATGTATGCTTGACAGCATAAACAAAATTGCATGACAACTTGAATTATAGATTTTGAATCTCCTAATATTAGTAAGGATTGGTGACCTTTACAGATTGTTTTGATAAACTGATCAGAGTATCACTTGTTGGACATATGTACTACACATGTTTGGAGAATGAAAGGTTAGTTGTAAACCTGTCCTTGGTATTACATGTGTACTAGAAATTTCCAGACATTTCTGAAAAATATCAATAATGAATTAAAAAGGCCAACTAGTATTTACTTATAGACATGTCAGTGGGTATAAATTTTGCAATATCTTCTACAAGGTGTCCCTAAAACCATTTGTTAGATATTTTATATAAATACTTTCTCTTTCTTAAATTTACCTCTTATTTTTGTAACTACATATTATATTTATGCACTCAGATAGAATTGAAACAAGTTCTGAAGCAACATTTTTGCTGTCACAATATTATCAGCCCTGATTTCCTGGGGATGCAGGTTTGCAAAGAGTGTGTGTGTGTGTGTGCGTGTGCGCGTGCGCGTGTGTGTGTGCGTGTGTATTTTGAAGGGAAGAGCCAGCTGGTTACTGTCTTATAACTATGTGAGCATTTGGGCAAAATAGGATTCTTCAGAACCAGTTTAACGTATACCCATTTGAATGCATCTTTAGACTGGTAAATTACTTAATTAATAGTGGGTTATTATGGAGATAAACTCTTTTATCATTCTGATATTAAGTCTCCCACCCCCACCCCATACAGAGTTTTAGATATGCCATGGCCAGTGAATGACAGTTAAGTGGCTCTGATACTATAAATGTAGAAAAAAAGAATTGACAACTCATTAATTGTCTTCTTTATTTTAATATCTGAAATTTTCTTTCTTTTTATTTCTACATCCCCTTTTTGTTTATTTAATTTAATTTTTATGTATTTCTTTTTTATTGGTGGGGAGTCTGATTGAATTTTAGTCTTGTATTTCTTTTCATCATTTCAAGATAAATTCAGCAAATGATGGGATATCAGCACTTCAATGATATCATTAGTGCTTAAGTAATTTTGAACCTCAATTCATTTTGGAAGAGTGCCTTTGAAGGCATCTCATTGGAGATAAGTGGTTCATTGGCATTGACGTTGGTCGGGGCATGTGCTGTATTAAAGAGGAAGAAATATCTGGTGGCTTTTTCTGGCCTCTCCAGTTTCTCTGAAACTGATCAGATTTGTAGATAGTGGAAGTGAAGAAGGCTTCAAGGGGCAACTGAGCCAACAGGCACAGGGTTTTGTGCACTGTTATATATAGCCTTTTAGCTTGGGGCTATGTGTGGTACATGTATAGCCAACTAATTTCACAGTTTACTTGTTTAATCTATACATGATAACATTGTGATCTTTTTAGATTGTAGCTTGAACTGTGCTTCAGTAAAAATTCTAACCTTTTATACTTAGGCAGAAATAATATCACTGGAAATCAATAGATCAAAGAAGATTGTGGGAAGGATGCTTGGTCATTGATGCTTTTTGTGTCACTCTTTTTGCCTAATGATCATGAACGAGAACTGCAGGTGATTATTAGTTTATGTTGTCAGCACTTTACTTTTACGTCAGCAGTTGGATCGGTGGCAGATATCGCCAGGAACAAGAGAATCTCCCAGATCTCCAGCAGCTATTCCAAAGAGATGTTGCAATAATTTATTGCAACATCCAGATCCTCATTTATAGTAGGTCACTATAGGGGTATACACAAGAAAATCAACATTTTTTGGCTGGCTGTTAATTTTGTTCTTCACACCCACACAAATGAACTTAGGTAACCATTTTTTTCTTCAGCTCATGTAACATTCTCTATAATCTGGACAGTTGTCATCAGAACTTGCATTCAGAAGGCTGTTTTTTTTTTTTTTTTTTTTTTTTTTTTTTTTTTTTTTTTTTTTTTTTTACGGGTAAGATAAGCACAGCAATACAAAGTGGTTTAGTGTATGAATTTAAGTCATTTCTATGGCCTGGGTTGTCCAAAAATCATAAAACTCAGAGTGCTATGGTTTTGGTTAATGTTAGAACTCAGAACTCTTATGTAGGACTTGAAGCTGCCTAAGGGTTATACATAAATAAGATTAATTGTTGAGAGTGCACACATATGTTGTTTGGTCTGTCAGCTAATGTATTTTTATAAGGTGCTTCATGTCTGGGATGGAACTGATGATGGTACAGTCTACATGTACTGAACTTCAAAATAGAAACAAGAGTAGTTTCTAATTTGATTTAGATGGTTAATAGGATAATTGATTTGCAATGATCAAACATGATATTTTAGTAGGGAAAAGTGGGTTGAATGATGATTAAGACAGTTTTAGTTACCTGTAAATGTGAAGGGAAGACTTGGTAAAACGTCCATATGTTTTTTAGCTTATGTACAACTTTGCCTCTTATTATAATCTTGTACACTATAGCTCAACTCAAGAAAGCATGGAACATTGATGTCTTTCATCCTTTCAATTATTTTATGGCATGCTAGCATCATGCATGAACAAATGGTCTTTTGCAAAAAAAGGGGCAATTTTGTTAAGAAGGAAGCAATGTATAGGTGGACTAATATTGAATTAATTTGGTCAGGTGTTAACCAAAGCTTAAATGATGTCTAGGTTAACATACAAACTCGCAGTATCTAAATGGATCTGACCTTCAGTGTTGACCTTCAGTGTTTTTGTTAGCCACATGTATAAAGTTGTATCAAGTTTGAACAATATTGTGCATGAAGATAAAGACCATGCATATAAAATAATGTTTTTACTCGGATGTTTTTCAGTCTAAGGCCCTCTTTACATTGAGTGGTACTTTAGTCATATAGCTGCAAACTTTGAAAAGTCGTAACATGTGCAGAGTAAAAACATTAAAGGGGTTTACTGACACTTTCACTAGTTTATTTCCAGTGAACATACTGTTTGGGCAGAAGTTCTACCTGGTGCATTCTCTTTTAGTGTTGAAAAAATTAAATGTCCACCAAAAATTGTCCATTTTTAATTGAATGTTCATGTTTGGAACAATTGCCCCATATAGTGACTGATGGGCCCTGAACAATAAGCCTGCAGTTTGCGTTCCACCACAGACTCAATGCCACTATTGCATGTACACTCACAGCATTCCTATGTTAATTGAAACGAGATAGAATTAAAATAAACAAAGACCCTTTCCACATTGTGTGTTACATGTGTCAGTATTGAAATGATGTGTGTAAGAGTTCCTGTTCTCAACAGCCAATTCACTGGATAGATTTCAATTGTTTCAAACAGTTTTAATCATATGTAACTGTTTAGATGGTTGCATGCATAATGTTGTGCCATTAATTACAGAGCCAGACAAAAAAGTCAAAAGTCAAAAGCATCCAGGTTTACCATCTCACAGGAATTAATTCTACAGATGTTTGGTCTTTAGTGTGTGCTTATCAAGAAGTATCACCTGTAAGCGTCTGTAGTGTATACTTGGGGGGAAAAAGTATCATCTGTAAGGCTCAGAATGCTTTAAACTTCGTTGGTATGCAAGGTAAATAGTTTACCGCAATAACATTATATAAGAATATCACTTGCTATATGTTTCAGTATCAGGATATGTCAGTGCTCCACATTGCCTTGGTATATACTGCCTTGGTGGTGTCAGTGAACCCTGCATTCTCACAGCAGATCTTGGAGACCTCTTCAGTTTGTCTTGGTCTAAAGGATACTCTGCATGTGTATATGTGTTCAGTGTTATAGCTCTACATTGACATTTACCAAAAAATTTAACTCATGTAACTAATTGGTTTCTGTTTTTGAAAATTGAAAAGCTAGCATGATTTCCCATCTTCAGACAAATAATTTTAATTGTCAACCCAAACAAATTCAAGGTATGTAAACAGTATCATTGATACCCTTAACTGTCAGCAGCATACAAACATAGGTTGAATAGCAGCCATGAAGGGGTTGATCCATAATGGGTCCAGTTGCCCAAGACATCATGCCAGTCCATTTGTGTCCCCGAGGGATGGATATTTCCATTTGGTAGCATTTGTGGCATGTTGTAAAGCAATGGCCACATTACCTTGGTAACATTGCAGACTACTGAGTTAACTTCGGAAATTGCCTAGGTAACATTGCAAATCGCAGTGCAACTGATTGAAACATGAACCAAGAACTAACAAAGATCAAAAATGTATTCAAAGCAGTTAGGCATGTCAAATTATTGCCACTTAAGCTGATAAATACCAGCACCATATAGTTTCAAAAAGTATAACTTAAAGAGATACCTCAGGGTTTTGTTTTAATATCCCCCCTCCCCAAATGACATTTGAACAGATATTTTCTTCTTACTTTCTGTGCTAGATATAACCTGCAGTTGTTTTTGCTGCCTCTCATTACATTTGGTCCTTGAAACCATAACAGATTCTTTTGGAGATATTTTGTGAAGATTATTATTTTTGAAGTCATAAAAAGGCATTATGTCACATAGTGAATTATAATCTTTCTATTGATTTTTTTCAAAACATCTTGTGTTGTTTGTTTTGATGTTACTGACAGATCAAGAAAGGTTTCCAATGTCAAAGCTAAAATATTTGTCAGGATGAGGGAA